GTACGTTGTTCTCAGCTCTTCATGTCAGTACACACGACACATTTCAATAGCTCCCTCATGAATCCTATTAGTCACTTCTCTATACGTATTGCAGGTCCTTGACTAACATCATTTCTCTATGACATTGATGAGATGCTGTAGGAACTTAACTCGTGTTCACATCTATTAGTCTAGGGTAAAATTGGTTTTGTCATACATTGTTCTGCATAAAGTCACACAACCAGTCGACAACATTAAGTGAGGACCACCTGTATATATAAAACCTTGATTAACTCAAATGTATTGGCAAAGTAGGACGGAATGGGGTAAGATCTTTTATTGTCTCTGCTACAAATAAAACTGTCGTAGCCCATTAGTGATGCTATAATGTACATCATAGACTGGTTTATAAAGAACAGAAACTTACTTCTCACAGTTTCGGAGTCCTGTAGTCTGAGATCAGGGTGCTAGCTTGATGAGGTTCTGGTGAGGGTCATCTTCAAGGCTGCAGCAAGCTGCAAAGTATCTCATGACTCTTAGAAAAGGTGCTGATCCCATGATGGGGCCCCACCCTCATGATATCAACAAAACCTAACTACCTTCCAAAAGCCCCAGCTCCAAACCATCAAACTAGGGATTAAGGCTCAGCATGTTAATTTTTGGGGGGTTGGGGCACAAACATTCAGTCCATTGAAAAAACTGTCTTTGTTTTTCTGACTTTGTTTAAATCATTTTCTGAATATTGTGCTTTTTATTTTCCCAGATGATTCTGTTATACCTCCACAGTCACCACTTTGACCATCTATGGTATTACATAATAAATTGATAGAAAATTGGGCTGAGCCACTAATGGCCTTCAGATACTACTGCCTGACCTGGGAGGTTTGGGGGAATTGTTGTGTTAATCCCCATTACCCGCTTGTTTTCTTGGGGTTTGCCTCTTTCTGTTAAAAAAAAAATCTACCCAACTCTAAGAATTTGGTTAATGTAGGACCTAGAGAGTACTCTGCAATTTCTTTTCTCAAACCTCAGTTACACCCTGTACCATCAGCATTCTAAGTGCTTTTTACTATACATCATAATAGACTTTGTGTCTGTGTTCAGTTTATCTGGTAGCCCCACCATGGGCTTTCCCCTCTCTCTATTGTCTTGGATTAGTTGTAATGAGCTGCCTTTTAGAAAACTTTTTTTTTCAGTTACAGTCAAAGTACAATATTATATTAGTTTCAGGTGTATGACATTGTGCTTATGAAGTGATCGCCCTGATGAGTGTGGTACCCATCTGACACTGTACACAGTTATTAAAGTATTATTGATTATATTCCTTGTGCTGTACTTTATATCCCCATGTTTTTTACAACTGGCACTTTGTACTTCTTAATCTCTTCCCCTTTTTCACTCATCCCTCCAAACCCAGAACTTGTTTTTTAAGTCAGATGTTTGGGGTTCAAAATATATTTTCTCATAGAAATGATGATTGTATGCTGGTTAAGACTAAAACTTTTCAAAGTAGATTGAAAAGATCCACTAAAACCTTTCAGAAGACTGTGGTTGAATGCAGTGGTTAGGCTAACGTTCTCATCAGTCCTTTTTGCCAGGTGTTCCTTTCCCTCACCTCTGCCTCCATCCCAGCGTCCTGGTTCCCTTCGAGTGGGAACGTGCTGCAGTGAGACAGAAGTCTGGTAGTGTCCGGGAGCCATTTCTCAGCTGCTTGCTATCTTCTGCTTTTTGGGTGGAGGTTGGTATCTGCCCATTGAGAAGACACAGGTAGGAAGGGCTGTTAATTCAAATGAGTCTATTATATTTGTATAACTAAGTTTATCTATTAAAGGAGTTCTCCATTTATTTTGGGAACAAAATGAGAACTCTTGGTCTGATATTAATTAACCTGTGATGAGAAGGAGAGCTACTGAAGAGAAGTAAAGAATTTGGCAGCCCGTTGAACTTAGTTACAAAGCAGCCTTTCACATGAATGTGTTCCACAAATTGGCTACATCCATTGGTGCTCGCAGAGTAAGTTGTCAGAAGGGGCTCAGGTTAGCCTGAGAATCAGATGTTTGGCGTTGGATGACAATGCCTGTTGCATGAACACTGAATTAAAAAGTGATCTGATATTATTAGGAAGGAAATAGGAGATAGTAATACAGATAGAGACCAACATAATGAAAGCAATGCATCATTGGGCTGATGTTCTGATTTAAGCATGCATTTCTGACTTACCCTGTAAATTTAACATATACTGCTAGATTTGAGGGTTGTTTGAGAGCAGGAAAGTGTAACAGGCACTGAAAAAGCTCCTTCTACCTGAATTGGCAGAACTGGTGTGGACGCTTTGGCTCCAAATGTGTAGGCTGTGGAATTAGTGAGCAGGGGGTGGATGGGCAACTGATAAAGAATTGAATGGGCAGTTAATCATAATCATAAATAATACCATGTTCTTTAATTCGCTGCCCCACAGTGTCTGTGAGGACTCCTCAGCAGTGCTGAAGAGTGGGAACTTTTGAAGTTGGAGAAACAAGATGGTAAACCCTGCTCTTCAGGAGCTAAACCGTGTGAGTTCCTCCAGCACTGCCAGCCTGTGTAATGAGACTCCCAAGTTGGAGTTGCTGAGCTGAGGCCTTCCATGTGGCCTGCTTCATGGAAATAAATTAGGAGAGCAAATTGGTACAGCAAACCCAGTGTCACCCCCAGGAAGCCTTGGTTTGCTGAAGTGGGAGGTGAATGGATAGCTGGCCCAAAAGAAGCTGAGATTCATGTACATTTCCAACTTGTTTGTCTGGCTCTCATCTGTTCCCTTATGCTCTCAGACTCATGAAGTTGCCCCCTACTCTGCTACTTCCAAGACTTGTCGGCAGATAGGCTCACAACCCATAGCATAATTCACCCCAAACCCTACGTTCCCTGAAGATGCCCTGTACTTGTTGGAAGGACGGGACCCAGCTCTTTTGGACACCATAGTGTCTGCGTTCCTCTCCTGGTGGTGTCACTTCGTTGCAGTCACGTCCACTCTCAGGCCAGTTGGTCATTTCTTCAGCTCTAAAAAGAGAGTGTGGGTTTAGATGATTGGTCTTGCTGCTTCTAGCTCTGAAAATTGGTGCCTGAGCTAGTTCAGACTGAAGACAGCTGCCATCTTGAGAACCATAGAGAATGATAGAAGGGGTAGTCTGGATAGCGGCCTCAGAAGTCAACTAGGCCAGCCACTCCTTTTACAGATGAGGATGTCGGGGCTCACCGAGGGTGAGGATCTGCCAGAACCACATGTCTAGTAGGTTATCCATAGGCAAAGACAGCTTGATCTTGCTTTTGATTTTCAGAGTTATTAGTTAGCATTATGCATGATTATACTCTAAAATGAAAAGTAATTGGGCATAAGTTTCTCTACTACAAGATGATGCCTTGCTTGAATTTTTTCTCGCTACAAAGTATGTGCTATAATGCTTTTAGTTAAACATAGGAACAGGGCCCTTAATGGGCAGATATGCCTTAGAATTTTGTTTGTTTAAAAAATGGCTGTGAATTATACTCAAAGCTTGGCCAAACATGTGGTCAGCACGGAGAATCACCAAGTTACGTAGGAGTTCTGCGAGGCTTTCTAGGTTTTTCCTCATGGCTTTAGGTAGGAGCCAGCATGCCTTAGCTGAGGAGCCAGCATGCCTTAGCCCACCCCCAACCTCACAGCACAGAATGCTTCTGACTTACTCTGAAATCGTGTTTCTTCCTCCCTCCTTCCCCAGGCCAAGAAAATATTTTAAAGCTGTATTCTTCGTTGACTCTGTGATCTGGGCTCATTTACTTGTTGAATGGCGTCTACTTTGGTTGCACTGAAAGGGTACATTTTGTACTCAGTGTTGGTCCCACTTCACTGCGTATACGGGGATCTGCGATCAGTGTGGAGCTGGCCTCTGCAACCTCCTAAGGGAACGGGAAATCTGCCACTTCGGCATTTTTGCAGCTGTGCGATCAAAAATAATTTGTTGACTCGATGACGGAAAAGGTGGATTGCTCCTGGTTGCAGGGACAGCATAAGGGCAGTAACATAGCCTTTCTCTCTTTTTAAAGAAAATCCCTGTTAAGATTATTTAACTTCTCAAATCTGTAGACACATACAAAAACTGGTATAACACATTCCCTCTTTATCATTGCACTGTCCCTCTTTATCCCTGTCACTGTGCAGTCTCTTTATCATTGCACTTCTGTCCCTCTCACTTGCCCTCTTTTTCTTCATATCCTTTCACTCTCTGCCAAGTATATAGTTTGTTTCATTTATTCTCTTGACACCATTAAAATGTAAGTTCCACAAAGGCAGAACTCTCTGACTTCTTGGTTTCCTGCTGCATCCTGTTAACCAGTGTCTGACATTGTTTTCCATATTTTCATATTTTTCGGTATTAATGGATGAAATTAATTTTTCCATTATTGCTTCTTTGTATGAACAGACTGCAGTTTGGGGTTCCCTCCACAACTGCATACCCTGCCCCAAATCAAATTTCCCTTCTTCCCTACCTCCGCAGAAGTAACCAGTATTGTGAATTCCGTGGTTATCATTTTGTGCCTACTTTTGTATTTTAGGACATATTGATATGCATCCATTGACCAATTTGTAGAATTGCCTTCAGGTGTTTAAGTTGTTTATATAAATGCTGATAAAGTCTTTTTGATTTAATGTTGAACTACATGCAGGACTTGGGGGCTCAGATAAACTCAGATAATTCCTGGTATGGCTGGGAAGCAGAGCTCCCCCACATCCTCTTTAAGGAAGACTTGCTGCGTGTCTTGAATCAGTGCTAACACAGGCAATGTACCGTACAGCAATTAAGATTTAGCATCCAAGAATGAACCTGTCTTGGTTTTCTCAATTAAAGTTTAAGAACTAGATGCACTTAATGTGTCTGTGCCAGAAAATTGGCTATTTCTTTGCAGTTTTCTCCATGTAAAGAGGTCTTAATGGTCCAATCAAGAAATCTAATTAACAAAGTTTAACTGGCCTACTATTCTCAGTAAAACTTTTTTTCTTCCTCTAGTTGAGACGAGAGAAGATTGACCTTGAAAATACTTTGGAACAAGAGCAAGAAGCACTAGTTAATCGTCTCTGGAAAAGAATGGATAAACTCGAAGCTGAAAAGCGGTTTGTTCAGTCTTGCTGTTCAGTGTGGGACGTGCGTGTGTGACTAGGGTACTATTCTGGGTGTGACCGAAGAATAGCAAAGAGACATTTAATTCTGTGGTTGATGCACCCCATTTAATTCTGTCAAATGAAAAAAATGCTAGAAGGCTTCTAACCTGTTTTCCTGTTGGTCACCTCTTCATACTTCCCTCACACAGTCCCAGTAGAATGTCTTTTCATTTGGTGTCAAAGGCTATGAAGAAACTGGTCAAGGTGCCATTGTTCACCTTGGCATTTCTCAAGGGATGGCTGTAGTTCTAATGTTTTTACCTTCTTCAACTGACTTCCCCGCTCCTTCTAAAGTGCACAACACATGTACTGTATACTGTTAACTATTACACATCACAAGCATGTACTTGGTTAGGAAGGCTGAGATTCTGATAGAATAATTATTATCTAATTGTTTTAAAACTTCTTATAAAGAAATACTTGTACCTATTTAAGGTTAGGGTTCTTTGCATTAAATGTATGCACATGGATCTGAAATGTCATTCAACAGCAAACATTTCTGGAACCCCTCTGTGCAAGATCCTGTTAGGTCCTTACTTCCAAGTGCTGCACACTTTGCGGGGGGCTGGAGCAGGGCTTGAAGAACGGCCAGGAGTTCTGTATGTGTGTGGGCACTGAAAAGGCATTTCCTGAAAATGCTTATTAATTTTTCACCAGGGTCTCTTGTGTGCTAAGCGAGCTCCTTTTGCCATAAGTATTGGATTTGGATGAACATTATAAATTATTTTGAGCTCATCTCAAGATCTGCAAAATAGAAACATACCACAGGCTGTAAGAAAAGTGAAGATTAGAGATATATCCACAGGGAAATACTCAAGCTATAGTTGAACCAACTGTGGTTTGCATTTTGCATCGGTACTAATAAATGGAATTAGGAAACATTTAACACTATTAATGTAGAGACCATTACAACTGTCTTCCTTCTATTGTGTCTTCCTTCGTAGAACACAATCAAGGTGTCATATATTGCAATTATTGGGTTGAGTAATGTGAAATTGACATCTGTAAGTCAAAAGTTGTTGAATATACATAAACATTTTGTGTGCTTCAAACTAATCATAATTGGTAGAGGGGGTGGCACTACCAATTATTGACCTGTAAATTTTTGTTTTGTTTTGTTTTGTTTTTAACTTTTTGCCTTAGCTATGACCAGCAGCAAAGGGCCTCTCATCTAGTTGGCCACGCCCTCAGGACTGGTTTTTCAGGAGGGAATTTTATAAGTTGAGTCTCCATGCTATGCCACCATCCACAGATTCATACTGTGCAGTAAATAAATTTCAACTGAAAGCATTGAGGGAAATTTCTCTAGTATCTCCATGTCCTCAACCAACATGTCAAATATCTCGTGAGCAGAAAACTGAATGCCTTCCATATGCCAGATACACTGTTTAGAAGCAAGTGCTAGTGATTTTTTCAGGAATGCATAATTACCAGTGGCTATTTAAAGGAAAAAAAGGAGGGTGGATCCTTCCGCTCTGTCCTGTGACCTGAATGCCAGGTAAGGGTGACCAGAAGTTGGTATAAAGTGGGCAGAGGAAATAAGCTACCCTGTGAATTCATACTGTAATTCATTCATTACAAGAGCTTTTAGAAAACAAATCCTACAGCTAGGATGTTGTTTTGTCTTTCAAAGGCAAACTGTTTCTCATTGTTGGATTTTTTTTTTTTTTTAATACAGAATTCTGCAGGAGAAATTAGACCAGCCAGTCTCGGCTCCCCCATCACCTAGAGACATCTCCATGGAGATCGACTCTCCAGAAAACATGATGCGCCACATCCGGTTTTTAAAGAATGAGGTAGAGCGGCTGAAGAAGCAGCTGAGAGCCGCACAGTTACAGCGTATGTAGTCTCTGGCTTCACTGGTCTTCCGTCTGCAGAATTAGTCCACTTACCAGAAGTATAGGGTTTTATTGACATTTGCTATTTAATTTGTACTAATCAAATTCAAACTGTACTTCATTATCAGTCCACATTTGTCTTGTCATCCTGGGATAGATTATTTTTAAAACTTACAGTATGGCCGGGCAACTAGTTTAAAATACTTCTAAGAAATAATTCAAAAAATTTCAGGAGGCTCTAAACTCACAGGAATTATTTTTAGTCTTCTTTCTTGCATTCATCTATGGGGTTGTGCTAACAAAATATTGCACGAGACCACAATGTATTTTGGGGGCATTAATGCAGAGATTTGAACCTTTATCGTCCTTACTGCTAAATTTTAGCTGTAGCTAACATTTGTTCATGGTACTTGAATAAATGCTTTTGGAATTTGTACTTATTATTTTGGAAAAGGTCAAGATGCTGAGTTGGAAGTGAAAGGAACTAGATTTCTGAGCACTCGCTGAGATCGTTGTGCATCTGCGTGGGTCTCGAACGTTATTTGCCTTTCGGCTGCTCAAACTAGTTTGTTTGAATAGATAATGTAGTGAACGGTATGCAGGGAAAAATAAGTCTCTGTCTCACCTCTGATCCCCAGCCACTCAATTCTCACAATTACACATTTTTTATATATTTTCCCTATATATGTGTGTATAAACTTTTTAAAATACAAATAATAGTACAATGAACATACTCTTTTTGCACTTTTCTGTTTTTTCTTACTGTATTTTACAGCTTTTTCCTTGCCAATATATAGAGTGGCCTTACTCCCTTTTTTAAAAGGCAGTGTCAGTATTTGATTATTTGGTCAGACCACACTTGGTTTAATGAGCCCCATTCCAACGGACCATTTTTGGTAGTGATTCTGTGACTACAATGCATGTCTGTGCACACATTTGATACCTGCTTAAGAACACTTTCAGGATAAATATTAGGAAGTGGATTTGCTGAGTCAAATGGGACATATATTTAAAGTTTCAGTAATTTTTATCTTTGCTTCCTTTTCTAAAATTCATTGTGATCTACTCTTGTCCAGTAATGCATCTGGGATGGTACATCAAGAGCCTTTACAGAATACAGTGTGCTGGTTTCCTATTGATGCTGTAACAAAAGACCACAAGCTTCATAGCTTAAAACAATACCAATGGATTATACAGTGATGGGCAAAAGTAGGTTTACAGTTGTGAGTACATGAAATAGAGTTTATTCCCGTTTTATTATTTAGTAAAATAATGAGTTGTTTCCACAAGAACAACTACAAGCCTACTTTTGCACATACCTGTATTGTACTTCTGGAGGTCTGAAGTTGAGAGGAGGTCTCTCCCTGGGCTAAAATCAAGGTGTCGCAGGAAAAGGCTCTAAGGGAGAATCTGTTCCTTTGCTGTTTCCAGCTTCCAGAGGACGCCTGTGTGCTTTGGCTCATGCCCCATCCTCACATTGGCATCACTTCCACCTCTGCTTTTGTGGTCACACCTCCTTTTCACTCAGACTCTTCTGCCTCCCCCTTGTAAGGCCCCTGTGGGTGCACTGGGCCCAGCCACATAATTCAGGCTAAGTTCCCATCTAAGATCTTTAATTTAATCACATCTGCAAAATTACCTTTTTTTTTTTAAGATTTTATTTATTTATTTTTAGAGAGGGAAGGGAGTGAGATAGAGAGAGAAACATCAATGTGCGGTTGCTGGGGGTTATGGCCTGTAACCCAGGCATGTACCCCGGCTGGGAATCGAACCTGGGACACCTTGGTTCCCAGCCCGCGCTCAATCCACTGAGCTACACCAGCCAGGGCTGCAAAATTACTTTCGTCACATGAGGTAACTTAGTCATAGGCTTTAGCAATTAGGATTTGGGAATCTTTGGGAGTCCTGTATTCTGTCTAACCCCATACAGGTTTCTAGCCTTACTCGAGGGGAAAAGCCTGGTCATCTATATGTCTGTTTGTTTTTTAACATAAGTAACTCTGATGTATACCTTGGGTTGAGAACCATGACATCTACCCCATGAAAACAAATGAAGGAGTTCTCGAATATCAGTTTTCTTAGGATTTTTTTTTTTCTTTTTTGGTTGAGATTTTGCTGTGCTGGGCAGACAGATGTCTTTTAACACCTTTCTTAATTCTTTCCAGTGCCATCAGTTTGCATTTTGTTTTGTTTTGTTTTGTTTGCTTTTTTCCCCTTTGGTCAACTTGCCTTATACTCCAGACAACATTTTTAGAAGAAATTTGGTGAGAATTTTTTATTCCCATTACTTCTTTCCTACCACTGTTTGGTCTTTGAAGAGACTACAGGTACCAACAGAGGCATCTCTCAGTGCTGTTTTGATTTTGTTAGGACAGAGAAAGCCGAACTAAACAGCAACAAGGGACACGTAGGTTCTCACAGTTGGTTCGGATTGGATTTAAAGAATGAGTTAATGACTTTTCCTCACCTACCTACCTCATCCTCATCCTCATCCTCCAAGTCCAACTGTAGCAGACCTGAAGCTCTCTCCCAATATTTCTCAACTCTGGTTGAACATTGGAATCCCTAGGGATTTTTTAATATACCAGTGGAGAGGCCTGATCCTCAGGTATTCTGGCTTAATTGATTTGGGTGGGGTGTGGTCACCGGTGTTTTCTAACCATAAACTTGAAAGGTAATGCAAAATGTATAGGCTACCATTGGATCATTTGGGCACCACCTCTTTGGACTCCGACGGGAAGTCACCCCTGGTTGATGCTGTCTTTGACTAAATACTGCAAGAGGGCTAAAGATAGGGGAAATGTGAGCTGTGGCCCCTCAGTCTTAGGAAGCTTCTGTATGAAAGAAGGTAAGTGTTGGCTCCTGGGAGTGAGTCTTGTCTCTGGAAATCAGGTGTGGGGATGCCAGCAGACGGTGGCCAGGGCGCGCCCTGGGTCAGTAGCGCAGAGCCTTCTCCATGCCTGCAGCTTCCCTGTTACTTGCTGAGGGGCTAGGGAGTCTTTACTCCCTAGCCCCTCACTCCCTTTACTCCCTACTCCCTCACTCCTGCTGACCAGCTTTCTTGTCTGTGGATGATTGCTTAAGGATTCCCCCTGTTGATTTCCACAGATGGGAAAGGACTGCCATTGTCTTTGAAAAACATTTCCTTTTAACTGGTTGTTCTTGGAGCCTCATGAATCCTCAGTTCTGCAAAACTTTCCTATTTATGGAAAAGAAGGCAACTTGCTCTGACACCCACTCTTCTGAGTCTAGAAACAATAAGTATTCTAAGGGGACAATCTGGTGCTTCCTGTAGAGCTAGTAAAAAATGCTGCACACTTGCATATTTGGGATCAAATAATGTAAATGTTTATATTAAAAGTGTGCTTTGTAAATATTTTCCCAGCATGCCTCCAATTAAAGAGATTTTTGCAACTGGATTAAACAGCAGGATTTTGGATATAGTGAAAATAACTGAGGAATTTAGTGTTTAGTGTACATACTAGAATTTAATAATGCTGGTATTTTTATTTGAATTTCTAGATAAGGATAATCAGGAGCTTTTATATATTCTGTAATGATGATATTTTGGAAATGATTAAATATTTATCATCAAAAGTCATTATTTGGCAAAACACCAGACTTTCATCAAGTTGTTTAAAACTGAAACTAATCGGGTGGGCATGGAGGAAACAGGGTCAGTTCGCGGGAGAGAAATGGCCGAGGTGGCATCCCGCTCCTTCTTTTCCATGGGCTGACAATATGGAGCAGTGACCCAGAGGACTCTCTCTTAGATGTGATCATGGCCGCTCTGAATGTGTAGCTGTTTTTCAGAATAGAGAAGTAGATATCACCTTTTTTTTTTTTTTTTTTTGAGATTTTACTTTTCCCAAATTCTTGGGCTAAGACAGGGAAAAGGAAGAAGCAGGAAGATGAGTAGATGCTGAGTTTTGCAAAAAGATTGTTTTGGTTACCTAGTAACAGATTCTGTCTGAGGTAAACCAGAAAAGGAGCCGGGAGGTCGTGTGATGCCGTTTAACAGCCTGGTTCTGGAGTGCGCCCGAGTCCTGCCCACAGTAACCTCGGGGAGCTCAGCAGAAGGCGTGCAGAGCCTGGTGAAGATGTCAGTTCTGCATGTCAGATTCCTGGATTCAGTCTGCACCGTGGGGCGAGAGAGCTCTGGCCTGGCAGACTGGTGCTGTAGTAGAGACCCTGACATACAGGGGTGGGCAAAAGTAGCTTCACAGTTGTAATGCAAATAAATAATGCAATACATAATAGTGCAAGGATAAACTGTCCTGCGTACTCCCAAATGTGAACCTGCCTTTGCCCACCCTGGTGTGGTGCAGCTCCTCAGAAGGGGTGTCTGTCATAATCAAGACACCATCCCGAGAGCCCGGGTGCGTGCAGGTCTTTACCTGCTCTCTGACTCAGAACGGCTGAATGTGAGTCACACACACACTAAACATTAGACTCACTTGAAGTATGAAAGTTGTTTACTCTGTCGATTTCTATTTTTAAAAATAAGAATTGTAACTGTTACCAAGCCTGTCCTAGTACATTGGTTCTCCGTGTGCCTCCATCATAGTGCACTAGCGTGCTAACCGGTGTGACAGGCTCCCATAGGTGACTTGCCACACTCTCTCTGGAGGTGAGCAGCAGCAGACATGTTGCCCAGAGGGGAGCCCATGAGCTGGATCTGTTTCCCTGACTGTGCCCCTTCCCCTTGAGCTCCAGCCACGCAGAGAGCTCTGGTAGCTGCTCAACCCAGACTTAGCTACAACTCCACCGTTTCTTCCTCCACACCAGGCACTTTCAAAGGCAAGTAAATAAGTGGCAGCGAAGATGCCTAAATTCCTAGTGCTGCTTTTTGTATGTTTTTCTGAATGCAGATTGTTGGTAAGCTTTGGTACTTTGGTGTAAACTTGAAACCCAGTGTGGGAGAGTGAGAACTCTGGTCTGGGCACAGCCCTTGTCTTCTATAGCACAGGAGCTGGACTGCCGTCTTCTTTGTTAAGGTCTGTGCATGGTTGCATGACACGGTTTCACCGACAACTCTGGCTTTTCAGACTCGGAGAAAATGGCGCAGTACCTGGAGGAGGAGCGTCACATGCGAGAGGAGAACCTGCGGCTGCAGAGGAAGCTGCAGAGGGAGATGGAGAGGAGGGAAGCCCTCTGCCGACAGCTCTCTGAGAGCGAGTCCAGCTTGGAGATGGATGACGAGAGGTGTGCATGTGTCTTATGATCCTTGTTTTTTGTGGGGTTTTTTTGTTTTCTTTTTAAAGGCTCTAAGAGGTCCCTCATGTCTTGTTAGATGGGGAGGAAATGGCTTCCTCACTTGTTTGTTGGATGCAGTGGTGTTCATCATCCCTGGTAGATGCTGAGAATGGGGTAAATGAAGAAGATGGACCATTTTCCTTAAACCCAAAAAGATGAAAAGAAGTTGCCTTTCCAAAATTATTCGGTGAGAGGAGAAGTGGAGGCAGGGTTATGTGTCAAGAAGCAGAGTTTGCATTTGTTGATGAATTTGTCTAATCCTGTGTTTAAAGTATGGGAGCACCTTAAGTCATAAGTACAGTTAAGCAAGCCATAATACAACCCAAGGGAATGGATATATACACACGGTTGAAAGAATCAACAGGAGACAGGAGGTTGTTGAAAGCCAGAGGCCTTGCCTTAATATACTTAGTAACTCTTGAGCCTTTCTGTAGCTACTTAAAAAATAATGCAATGCCTTTATCTGCTGAAGCCAAACATCAAACCCCCTGATTGTCTCATTGAGAAATGGGCTGAAATAAGAGCCGCCGTTGGGTTAATGAGAAGAAATGGTAGCAGCATCTCTCTCTCATCCAGACTGTCCTCTCCCTCCCCTCTTCCTCTCTCTCCCTGTTCCACCCTCAACAGTGTACTTGAGAGTAAGGTGATCGTTAGGATAAGCCACAGATTCGCAGTGGAGAAATTGTTTAGCTAGCAGAGAAACCTGGCTGTTGGGAAATTAGCCTGTGTCTGAACCACATCATTTCTGCAGGGGATTTCTCTGGTCTGGGTCAGGGGTGCCCTGGCCTTACATGGTGGGCATCTCTGTGTGGGAGGTGAGACTGAGCCTCCTCCAGAGCCCCTCCAACAGGACTGAGTAGCCAGTATCTGAGACCAGGGCTTGCTAATGGTGTGATGAGTTTTACAAGCTGTAGATGTCAAAAGCATGTTGCTGGAAAACATGTGGCCAATGTTACCACATCAGCACTCTTCTTATTTGTGTTACTGAGTAGATCCAGAGAGCTAACAAGACTTTTGATTAGTTTGTTGTGAACAGTGATACTATTTCAAGAAAAGTCTGAGATTTTTCTCTAACAAATGTCTGTAACTTTATAATTTAAAAAATTATGAAAACAATAATGGGTCATCCTATTTATAATATCTGTGTGCATACTTCTTTATTTGAAAAGAATGAAGAGTATTCTTAAAAGTTTATGCCATGAAACTATCACTCTTAACTCTGAAGTTCATTGATTCCTTTCTGACAGTGTCCCATTCTCTCTGAAATCCTTATCCTCTGAAAACCATTTGACAAAATACACCAGCTCGAGTACTGAATTTATTAACTATTTTATTAATGACCTTAAGACACAGAGCAGACCATCTGTTAACACACACCATACCCTGTACTTGATTTTGAGTCAGATGCACTCTGGAGTTTCTTCCAACTTTGGTGACAATACTAAAGCTACTTCAGGCTTCCAGATAAGTATTATTTCCTAGAACTGGTATTCACTGCAGAAGGTTTGCTTTATCTTTTGTAGGTCAGATTATCTCAGGTAGAGCACAGCTACTCAATAAAGACGCCTCCTCTCCCTGCCGGGGATGATGATGTCACATTTGGGAGAAAGAAAATAGTTGGATGTTTGAGACATTTACAAGTGAGTTTATTTCTTAAAAACCAAGAGGCGGTCCTAGCTGCTAGCAGGATGGTAGAATATAAGGAGTCCAGCCTGGCGCCACCATGGTGGCCACTCTAAATGGTACAGGTGAACCTAGTGGTGGGTGGCTAATTGAGGGATACATGTCAAATTCAGGAGCTTGGTTTTCTTTGCATCAAGTAAGCCAGCATAGAAATGACAGTGTTCCAGTCTCCCTCGTGAGCTGATTTGAGTATCAGGCCTGAGATCCTCCCCAGGCTCGGCCTGTGTCTTCCTTTGGCTGTCAGGCCTGTGGGGGATAGTGTGTTAGGGAGTCTTTCAAGCAGAAATTTCTTCTCATCAGTGTTTTTTTAAGTGTCTTTTTTTTATATATTCTTACATGTGACTCCTTGTTAAGGAAGGCTTGCCTTGTTAATGAGTGATATCCACTTCACGGGAATACATACCTTTAAGCTTTAAGTTGATTACATGAATCTCAGAGGGCTTCTTTGTATTGGGAACCGCCCTGCCTGGTTTCAGAAGCTGTAACCCCCGCCAAGGCTAAGGCTGAGAGAGCGACCTTGGACTGTTAGCCACTAAGGAGACAAAAGCTTATCTCCCTGGCAGGAGCACCGCTTCTGCTCCTTTTACTTCATCCATAACTGGCCCCCAATGCTTGGTCGGTTAGCCAATGATGGGTAAGATTCCCCAATCTTAGGGGAACGACCTAAGACAGGCACAATCACATGGGAGGCCCCCAAGGAAGGACTTTGTGGGGTACAGCAAAAGGAGGTGTTGGACCTTCGTCCCTTGGCTTTGACAAAGCCTGAGTCCTCATTCTGTCTGCAAGAAGCCTCCTAATCTCTTGGCAGCTTTACTTTCCCTGCTTGACTTAAGCCTGAAACAATGACAGAGGGTAGTGCAGCCCTGTACTGGAAAGGGCGGGTTCCCTAGGGCGATCAGGCCTAAGAAAGAATATGTAAAATCCTATGAAACCTGCTTTGTTTAGAATGCTCTCAATTAAATGATAAGGATCCAAGCAAGAAGTGAGTTTGTTCCTCAAAGTTTTATAGTTCTTTAGCTATCTGACCCTGACTCAGAATAGGCCTTCAGCAGTTCTTTGTTATCTGTTGTTTGATCCTTACTGCCTGGTAATGATTAATGAGCTTTACAGTATTCTTGTGCAAACAAGCCCAGTAAAAGCCAATTGAGGAAAAGGCTCTTGGCCCTTCTCCTTTGAGAGATCGGCCACCTTTCCTCCCCAAGCAGATCATGTCTTGGTAGACTGATTCTTATCAGTGGTAGCTGGGGGTTGGGGCCCTGTGGGCGGAGCCCCCCCACATCTTTGGGTTCCAGTTTCAAGTAACAAGTTAAATTTAGCCATTAAAATGTACATGTCTGTAATTCTTGGGACGTTGGAAGTGAACGTCTACATAGTGGTTGTGTGACGGAGTGGAGCCCGGTCCTGACTGCTGTGTGGTGCAGCTCTGTCACCAGGCCCCCCTCTGAGCTAGAACACCCGGATCCCCCAACCTGTAGCCCTGGGGAGAGAGGTTTGCTGAGCAGTGAGCAGCGAGAGTCCATTGTATACGTCTCCTAGCTACAGCATCACGCTGTACACGTTCAGGAGCCAGACCTCCAGATGTGAACCCCAAACATTTTCTCCTGGGAGGACCCTTAAGAACTATTGAAATGCAGGTGGTTCTGATCATCCTTCTCCTCTTAGGTGTTTTAACGAGATGTCTGCACAAGGATTAAGACCTCGCACTGTGTCCAGCCCGATCCCTTACACTCCTTCTCCAAGCTCAAGCAGGCCTATATCTCCTGGTGAGTACATGTTTTCGCTACTTCTGGGATTGATTTCTGCTACATTATTAGGCATCCCTTCTGGCATATAAAAATCTTGTAAGCAGAGAGGATGGTTATATGTTTTTGAGAAACATCAACAACAAATCACTATGTAAACTGAGTCTTAGTGTGTAATTTTTAAGCCTAAATGTTACAGTGCCAGCTGGTGTTTTTCTTCATTTTTTTAACCTAAATGGAATTTAACTACAAAAACCTTTTTTAAAAGACTGTCTTTGTGATTTTAAGTGGTGCTATATTGACAAAACCTTGGGGAGATTTTTAAGGTGGATCATAGCACATCCTTTTTGGGTTCTTTCCGTGTGTACCGCATGCAGTATCTCATTTTCATTCATGCAGAATTAATGCAGGCATTGTTCTTCCCATGTTAAAATTGAGGGAGCAGTGATTGGGAAGCTGCTGGTCACGTGGCCAGGAAGTGGCGAGTAGGGGCATGTTTTGTTGCAAAGTCTGTGTTCCTTCAAGCAAGAGCTACGTCCTGCTCTTTCCTGTGAGTTGTGAGTGGGACTCGGCCCTGGTAGCGGGGCCATGCAGGAAGGAGCTGGCTTTGCTTCTGCTTCTGGCTTTGCTCCTCAGAAGCCTCTCCCTCAAAGGCGTGCTTGTCTTCATCTGACCCTGAAAACTTTCTCCCTGGGTCTCTGGCTCCAGTACCAGCACAGCATGGAGCTCTCAGGCCAGGAGGGCAAGTAAATGATCCAGCAAGGAAGAAAGAGGAAGCAGTGGGGGGCGGGAGGTTGGCGAGTAGAGTGGAGGGAAGAAAGAAAAGGTAGCAGGCCAAAGATTGAGTCTTGTGACTGAAGGGAAGAGACTGATTTTCTTGTGCTTGGTGGTAAACAGATTTTAAACAGTTGTGGGGGGAAGCGTGTGTGGGGAGAGGAGAGTGGAGGAGTTTCCCAGCAGAATGAAGTGAAGTGACTTCTTGGAAGGGCAGCAGCAGTAGAGGTTTTGTGGTTTGGAAAGTAAAAGAACCTCATAGTGAGGTGACAGCTCATATTATCTGTTATAATAATTAGAAAATTAAAAATGGGAGATGCCTTTCAGGTTGGTAAAGGGGAAGCGCTGCAGGAAGGCAGGTGGCCAGGGATAAGGCGTCAGGTAGAAATGGCTTAGTTTTGTGAGTTTCGAATCCAGCCCAGCTCTGTGGTGCTGTGATTTTCTTTTCTTTTTTTAAAGAGGTGAAATCAAAAGAAAATTCTGCACAAAGCATGGGAGCGTTTTCCACTCAGGGCCAACACTCTGTCTCTGGCATCCAGCAGCACAGAGAGGAACAGTTTGCAAACCAACACGACTTTCTGTCTTGGATCTATGTCTTGGTCATCACCCCCTTGTTCTTGCCCAAAGGATGTTCCTGGAACTCTTTCCTCTACTTTCCAGTGGCCTTTGGTCTCTCTGAAAGCTTCGCTTCTTCGCCGCCTCTCACTTTTCCCCAAATAACACCTGGGTTTCATTACCATAGTAAAGGTCTTTTCTGCTTTCTGATTTATTGTCCTAAAAGGAAGACACGCATTAGGAAGAAACAAGGTGCAGGGAAGCCTTTAGAGTTGATGGGTGACTCTAATTCTTATTACATAGAGTTTAATGCTCTGTTTATTTAAGCCTAAGGAAATCTTTAGAAGCTTGTAATTTCCAGTTCATTAAATATAATGTTGTAGTCATTGGGGAAAAAAGGGCAGACGTTTGCTGGCAATATTAACTTTTATTGTAACCAATATTCTGTAGGAAGATCTTATTCCATTTTCATAATGTTGACTTTTGTCACACTCTGTCCCTGTAGTGTGGGGCCTGCGTGTGTGAGTAAGCTACTGGTATTTAGTTTTCCCTTAAACTACATAGTAACACCTAGATTTTTTTGCTTTCAGCCAGGCTAAGTGAGAACATTTGTATCCCATTTTAAGTCCTATAATATCATCAAAGTAAGTTTTGTCTCCTATTTGGCAGCAGAATTACTCCTATTCTAGTCCACTGTAGTCCTGTACACAGTGCATCAACAATACCTGAATTTTCAAGTGTGCTTTTTCCCTTTCATTTCTACTGGAAGAATTTTTGGAATAGTGCTGTTCCTATAGTTTTCATTTCCATTTTAAGCACTTGGGCTCTTCTCCCTTACCATTTGTCACTGGCAGTCTTGCACCTTCACCAACTTATGTTGAATCTTGTTTCACTATTTGAAAGGTAAATTTCCTAGGACTAAAGAAGGGTCTTCTTCTTGATTATATGTGGACTTGTTTATGTGGATAACCTATGGAGAGAGTATTACTTTTCAATAATTATTTTTCAGCTTGCTCATTACTTTATACAGCTTGAGGAGGCATTCCCAGTGAGCATATTTCGATGTGCCTACATCAGGGATGAGGAGTGATGATGTTTCCTAAAGGGTCTGCATCCCGCTCACACCACACACTCCTGCCACCCAAATCATGGTTGCGAATTCCACTCTCCAGTGAAAAGACCGAGGGCTTCCTGGAGAAAGGAGTGTTTCTAGGCCTGAGGCAGGGAATGTACAAGGTGAACCTGGAAAACCTGGTAATGCCAGAAAGTAAGGAGGTGCTCAGAAACAAAAAAAGGGGAGATCTCAGAGCAGCACAGGGACTCACCGCAAGAGCCCCCCAAGGTCCCAACAGGAACAAAGGGAACGGTAACATAGGCAGTGTAGTGCTAGATTATAAACCAAACATGAAACAAATGTCCATGAGTCCACGCCAATTAAAATAAATGACTGAATAAATGAGGAAGAAGAGATAAATCTCTCATGCAGAAGAATTTCAAATTATGTACACAGATTCTCTGCCATTGAGGAAATGGAAATAACTCCCCACTCTTCAAGTGTAGGCTGCATGTGGGGACCTCCTCCCAAAAATATGGCACACAAAGGGAGAATAAAAGAGTACCTTTACAATGGGCAAACTTGACAAAACCCTGAATCAGCCCAGATGATCAAGGTCTGCGTCGGCAGTGTGAAGTCATGTCATTGGTGTGTGCTTTTGATGTGATGTCATGAGAATGGCACTTGCTTCTGTGGTCTTGCTCCCCAGAACCCATGACCTCAGTCTAACCACGTGGTAAACTCAGACAGATCCCATTTAAGGGATAGTCTGCGTACAAAAGCCTGACCGTTACATGTTAGAATTCACAAGGTCATCAAAAACAAAGAAAACTGAGGGACTATCTCAGCCAAGAAGTGCCCATGGAGACGTGACAACTAAATTTAACATGGTTTTCTAACAGGGATCCTGGAACAGGTAAGGACAGGAGGTAAAAACCTCAGGAAATACAAGCTAAGTATGGACCTGAGTTGAGAATAATAGGTCAGTATTGGTTTATTCATTGAGACAAATATACCATATATTCACATATAAGATGTTAATAAGAGGGGAATCTGAATATAGTATATATAGGAACTCTCTCTACTACTGTTGCCACTTTCTTGTAAAACTAAAACTATTCTTAAACATTTTTTTTAAAGTCTACTGACGTTAGATGAGAGCAGCTAGTCATAGAAGATAGAACAAAGAAAAAACCTCCTGTCTAATCCTGAAACGACTATAATATTTAGAGGTCATGTATGGGAAGAAAACGTGGCAAAGAAGATTGAAAAGTGGAAGGAAAATTGGTATATGAGTCACTGAAGTTACAACAAAGCATTTCAGTGAGAAGGGAATGGTCCCCTCTGTCAGATATTGCTTCAAGGTCAAGTAAAATGATGAGTATTGGCAATTGCAGCTGGCAACACGGAGAGGCTGCTGACCTTAAAGAGAGCAGTCTTGATGAAGTGGTGGCGAGGGAGCCAGGTCAGGGAGAGTCCAGGAGGAAATCATGTCTAGATTGTATGAGTTTTTACGAAGTGTTTCCACATATGACTGGTGTAACTGAAAAAAACATTTCTGCCTTTTAGGTTGCTTATATATATTTTTTTCTTTAGCAGAAATATATCAGAAAATTGAGGTGGCCGTCAGAAGGGTATAAAGAAGCAGAAATAAAATCATCCAGAATCTTTTTATCTGAAGGCTGTGTTAATATTTTACTGTTTTCAAGTGGTTCCTATCCCTACCCATACTTCTTGTAATTTTCCTATAAGTTGGTTGATTGATTTTATATGGATTATACATTTTTGTATCTTGCTTCATTTTGCTTAGTGGGGTTTTTTTGGTCATAAATTGCTTTTAATTAATATCTTGAGCTTGTGGACAATGAAGTCCTAATCTTTTACTTTAGTTAATGTATTTCTTTTTTTTTTTTAATTCTAATAATCATTTAATTCTATTAGGCAAGAAGGAGTTTACAGGAAAAGGAATGGTTTCCAGATGAGGGATACTAAGTGTAATTCTCAACATTGAATTGAGAATGTCTGTAGAAGTTCTGGTAGGCATTTGGAAATAATATTGCAGTGCTCAAGAGTTACGTAGTTAATGCATTTCTGTATCAGAGCAAAGGAATTTACGCCAGCAATAGCTTCATAAAGCCATAGTATTTTATTTAAGTAGATTGGTTTTGGGGATTTGGCATTTTCAGGCCAGGTTGTTTTTTATTCTTAATTCTTTATTATATTCCTGGGCCAGAGGGTCAGATGCATGATGATTAGAACTTAAAGGAAAACAAAAATTAGTGAGACATTGTCTCTGGCCTCTATCAGCTTATAATCAAGGCCTGAGAAGTGGGGAAAAAATACAATAAAAAAGAAACTCTTAATTCAAGAGCAATTGTAATGAATTTTACATGTTTTATATTCCTTAAAAAGCTTAGTAGTTAAACTGTAGTACAACTAGTCCAGCAATACTACTGGAATACTACTCAGCAATAAAAAAAAAATTAACTTGATACATGCAATTAAAATTGACTTGATACATGGATTACAAAGACGTTAATGATGAATGAAAAAAGCTAATCTCCTATAGTTACATACCATATGATTTTATTTCTATAATAATCTCAATTTGACAGAATCATAGTGAAGGAGTGCAGATTAGTCCTTGCCAGGGTTCAGGGTTAGAGAGAAGGCGTGACTATTAAAGCAATTAACACGACAGAGTTTCTCGAATCTGTACATGTGATGAAACTGCATTGAGCTGTACACAAAAACAGATGACATCCAAATAGGCTGTACTGGAGTCCCTAGTATTAGAGCGATGCTGATCTCCTGGTTTCGCTAATGTGCTGTGGTTGTGGAAGATAACATTGGGGAATGCTGGGGGGAGGGTACACGGGAGTCCTGTAGTATTTCTGCAGCTTATTGTGAATTATAGACTACTTTAAAATAAGTTGTAATAAAAAATATACTAATTTTTAAAAAGGTTCAAACAACAGAAAGCAACCAGCTTAGAGAGCTTTTGGATGAGCCTCAAAGGAGACCTTAACAAGCTGGAACTTACTGAGCCTTTCTTTACTTGGTGCCAGGCCCTCTCTGAGCACTTTGTGGTATTAACTCATTTCATCCTCACAAAAACCTGTGAGGTCACTGAGATAATCTCATTTTACAACTGAAGGGTTAAAAGTCCACAGTCACTCAATGCCCAGTGGCAGAACTAGAGTCGGGGATAATATGGCGGTTGGCTATAGAGTGTGGACTCTCTGCCTCTTGAGAAAGGCCAAGTGAGGGCCTGATTGACAGGAGGGGGTGGGTAAGGAAGGAGTAAGTTCAGTTCTGTGGTGAGGGAAAGATATCCCAGGCTAGGGCGTAGTATGAACTCAGATGTGGACGTCAGAATCAAGATTGATAAGGTCTCTGTGGTTCTTAACACCTGCTGCCCTGGGACCCTGTTCCCCGTAGATTCTGACTCATTTGATTTGGCTTGGTCGAGGCTTTGAGATACACCGGGAGCCAAATGCATAGGCCTTTATAACATCCAGAAAAGAGAATTTTTCTTATAAATTTAGGGAGTCTTTCTTTGAAGATTCTTTTTAAACCTGAAGATTTTTGATTAGCAGTTTAACATAATAGTAATTAACCTTGTAATACTAGAAAGTAGGTAGATCTTACTTTCGTTATTATGAATTGAACCCTCTGAGCTTCTCTATCTGGGGATAAGGATCCACTTTCATAGCCTTTCTCTTAAATTTCATCACTTTCCTAAGAAATGGAATTAAGATTGTACTTGTGTTCCCCAAAGCTGTTCAGAGAAAACCTGTTCGGACCTCCACCCAGACCTGTCGAACAGTGTGGGGAGTCTGGGCATGTGTACTTCTAAAACACTTTGGAGACAGTTCTCACGTCTTAGATAAAGACTGTACAACACTGTAGCGCGCTGGTACTTGTTGCTTCCTTACATATAACTTTCTTTTGGGGAACTTGGGCATATGTAGAGCTTTTGTTTTCTTCATTGAATATCCTGGAGTGGCGAAGGCGCATGGTGATCTTTGCTTGCCGGAGGGCTGCAGACGCGTTCGTGCTCACCTTGGGCACGGTGGTTTTGTCTCGTCATCTCTTCCAGCAGGGCTGGCCTTGGTTTTTTCAGTTGGGATAAGAACATTGAACATGAGATCTACCCTTTGAACAATTTCTGACTGTAATACACAGCGCTGTACAGCACTTTTTCTGTAACTGAAACTTTGGCCCGTTGAACAATTCCCTGTCTCTTTCCACCCCCACCCCCTGGCACCCGGCCTCCTCCTGTCTGCTTCTGAGTTTGTTGTAGATAACTCGTATAAGTACTTGCTCTCTTGTGACTGGCTTCTGTAAGCACAATGTCTTCAAGGTCCATTATGTACTCTTTAAAAGGAATTTTCTTTTGAAAGACTGGATAATAGTTCACTGTATGTATATACCATGTTTTCTTCACGCACCTGTCGGTGGACATTTAGGTGGATTCTACCGTGTGGATGTTGCGGTGAGTATGGGGCTGCAGATTCCTTTTCAGTATGCTGATTTCACTTCTTTGCATAAATAACCGGAAGGAGGATTGCTGCATCATATGATAGTTCTATTTTTAATTTTTGAGGCACCTCCACACTGTTTTCCATAGTGGCTGCACCCGTTTACATTCCTGACGGCAGTGCACAGTGGTTCCGATTTCTCCACATTCCTTGCCAGCACTGACCTTTTTTTTCCTTTTTCTTTTTCTTTTTCTTTTTTTTAAATAATAGCCATCCTAACTGGTATGGGGTGCTGTCTCATTGTGGTTTTGATTTGCATTTTTCTCATGATTAGTGATGTTGAACATCTTTTGTATGTCATCTTTAAAGAAATGTCTTGAGTTCTTTGCCCATTTTTTAGTTGGGTTATTTATTTATTTGCTATTGAGTTGTAGGAGTTCCTTATGTAGTTTGGATAGTAATCCCATATCTGATATGTGGTTTGAAACTATTTTCCATCCCATAGGTTACCTTCTGTTGATTGTGCCCTTTGCTGAGCAGAATGTTTTTAGTTTGATGTCTGTTTCTGCTTTTGTGGCTGTCGTATCTGAGAAATCATTGCCAAGGAAATATCAGGAAGCTTTTCCCTGTGTTCTTCTTAGGAGTTTCAGTTTCATGTGTTACATTCAAGTGTTTAAGCCATTGAGTTCATTTCTGTGTTTGGTGTAAAGGAAGGTAGGTGTATATATAGCTTCATTCTTTTGCATGTGGATGTTCAGTTTTTCAAATACCAGGTGTTGAAGGGTCTGCCCTTTCCCCGTTGTGAATTCTCAGCAATTTTGCTGAAGATCATTTGACCATGCCTGCTCAGAATTACTTCTGGGTTCTCCTGTTCCAGGGCAGGAATTTTATATCCCTTGCCATCCAGGAAGCTATTCAGTGAGTTTACTGTGCTTTTCATCTCCTTTTATTTTTGTGGGTGACTGAGAACTTCTGAATTTTACAGCCTCCTAGGTGGTTGACCACATGAGATAATTTGAGTTTGAAATTATACTGACAAGTTGTTGTTGTATTTCAGGTCTATCATATGCAAGTCACACAGTTGGTTTCACCCCGCCGACCTCACTGACTAGAGCCGGAATGTCGTATTACAATTCCCCGGGTCTTCACGTGCAGCATATGGGAGCCTCTCACGGTATCACAGTAAGTATCTGTGAGGTGGAAGCAGCACTTTACTCCAGATGGTGGGAGCAACTGGTCCTCCTCAGGAGACCAGGACTGATGCACCTAGACACTCACCTTTCTCCCTCCCTCCCTCCCTCTCTCCCTCCCTCCCTCTCTCCCTCCCTCTCACCTTAAAAACTAGAGAGACTTCCTAACAGTTATATATCAAATTTTGGTGCTGACACTAAAATCCATCCCTGAAGCAAAATTTCAACTTCGCTGTCTTTGAAACATCGCCCTTGTGAAATGTAATTTGAACTTTGGCCAGTGCCTTGATTGAACTCTGGCCAGCTCCTTGCCATAACGAATTATTGTTAGTTGCCATAATGTCTAAAATATTTGTCTGCACCTTCACAGTTCACTGACCTTCAGTATTCTTCCTGAAATTAGCCTTATTCTAGTTTCACCCAGAACTTTTCACCCAGAACTTTTCTCCTGAAGTTAGAAGGAAATTTATGTGCATCTGATTCAAACCTTACTCAGGGAACTTTCTTTTTCTCTTCAGTACTGGTTATTTAGTCCATTGATAGAACAATTACAAGTGTAGTTAATAGGGGTTTTGAGAATAGGACAGCACTGAAGGATCCCAATAAGGGAATCTTTCAAAGAAGAAACTATTCTATAAAAGCATGTAAGATCCTTCTGCAGCTGTTCTGCTGGTTTGATGGGCTTTGTGTAAAAGCAAAAAATTGTTTGGTTGATCTTCAGCCTTCAGGATATTGAAAACTTTTTTTTAATGATAGAAAGAACTTGGGACAGATTTAAGGGGAGGTCGTGATGACTATGTTTTAATGTTAGGGCTGTCTCATTGAAGGGGCACAAGTCCAGTAGTTTGGTCAATGCAAGTTCCACAGTAATTTTGCTTTTTCATAGGTGTCGGTATAAACTTGACCTTGTTTAAGTTTTCATTACTAGTTTAGAAACCAGTAGGAATGGACAAGGAAACCGCTGCTTTCTCTTCATTGGTCAGTTTTTCACTGGCCTCAGCTCCAAGTCAGGGAGTGTTAGAAATGAGCCGTCTGTACCAAAACTGACCACCTGATATTCCTGTCCTTTCCGCAGAGGCCTTCACCACGGAGAAGCAACAGTCCTGACAAATTCAAACGCCCCACGCCGCCTCCGTCTCCCAACACACAGACACCAGTCCAGCCTCCTCCGCCTCCGCCTCCACCGCCCATGCAGCCCACAGTCCCCTCCGCAGCCACCACGCCGTCCGCCCCTCCACCACATTCGGTGCACCCCTCCTCCCAGCCTTAATGCATGTGCTTAGTCCGAATCTCATGTTGGGACTCATCCAGTGGAGCCGTCTACTCAATGCCAAAGGCTTCCTTCCCTGGCCTGTTTGGATCTGACTTATTTGCACTGAGGTTATCTAGGCTTCACTATGAATTGTGTTGTAAATGTTTGTCAGAAACGCAGCCAGTGTTGTGGGTTACAACACTAAACAGACGACTTTTTCCATCAGTGTTTTACTTGAATCGACCTGTATGTCCATTCCCTGGCTGGAACATTTGCTATTCAATATCTGGTAATTCAGCAGCAGTGTGCAGTTCTTTGCTTGGCCCCAGAGCTTCATTTTCCTGGCTTTTAGGTTTGTAAAATATAAAAGGATATCTTTTTTATATTTTTTCCATGAATTTGCAGAAAATCACTGAGCTGTTATTACCACCACCACCACCCCCATTATAATGGTGTTTACCAAACATCCCAATAATTTAGCACTACAATTCAGACTTTTGGAAAATCTAGCTTTCAGTGTAGAATGGAAAGTTAGATAGATCAGTGCCCAAGACAATATACTGTTTAATAGAGCTTTCTACAGATACACTTTTTATAGGTTATTTTCGGTATATATTAGCATCCATGCCTCTTGTAAAACAGATGGCCAAAAAGTGACAGATCACATGGCTGTACCTTTTCCACCTACATGGGATGGATAAGTATTGTATATTAAAGTGTGATTCTTCCTTTACCCTTCATGTTAATCTGCCCGAACTGGCCCCCGCTGACATGAATCCGTGAATGTCCTCCCACAGTGGTTGCGATGGCTGATTAGAATGTGTGATTTGATTTATGCTACAGAAGGCAATGCGACTATAACAAAAAACAGCTATTTCCCCTTTCCGTTCTTTGTGTTCCCCTGCAGTAGAGTTTGACAAATATTTTAAAGGTGCAAAATTATTAGAAGATATTATTTGAAATGAACATTATAGGACTATCTTGGCATAATGGCCACACAATGCTTTATTGCTTGGCAGAGGAGAGGCGTAGAGGAGAGTAGCACATTAGTATTGATGACTGCTTATTTTGTCCAGTGCAGTGTGTACAAAGAAGTATATTCTGAATACATTATTTCCATTCATTTAGCACAAATAAATTCTTTGGTTTCACTTTGAAGTGGAACACAGTGAGTCACTCTTTTCTTAATACTTGCAACATCTTTATTTTTGCTTTTCGGCAGTTACTGTTTTGTATTTTGGTAGTAAAGTGATTTTTACCACCTGTGTTTGCATATTTATATATGCTGTGGACGAAAATAACTTACTAGAGAATGTATATTTTATGATGAGAATGTGTATCTGTTGGATATAATCAGAGGACTGAAAGTTAATTTATCAGTAATTTTTAAGAGTCCATGTTTTGTGACAACCATCTCTAATAGCTAGCTCTTTATTGAACACACTCCTAAAAATAAGGAACCATGAATGACATTGTAGATATTTAATATTGTACAGTATAGAAACCTCCATTTTTGCCTTTGAATGCATATTTAAGAGTTACAGAAAGAAAAAAGTCTTGTTGGCTGATAGTGTTTGACTAGCATTTTAAGAACTCAAGAGTAAAAGCAACAATAGGATTTTTCACCTCTTCCTGCTTCCACCCCCCAAGCTGAGAACGTCACTCCTCAGTTGTTTGGAAGAAATCCTACGTCTCTATAAATTTTATTTATAATGTGTGTGTAATATACATAATCATAGTACAGTTCTCAAATAGGGGGAGAAGTTTGGCATATTACTGAGGCTTTAGATTTTTTACATGGTCAGACTGGGTCAGATCAAACCCAGGATTTCCCCAACAGCTCCCTGCCCGCCCACGCCCCCCCTCCTTCTCCACCCCCGGTACATTGCCATTCCGAGGCATCCTGAAAGCAGGCAAACAAAATTTGCCTTCATGGTACAGTTCTTGGTTTTTCTTCTCGGAGAAGTATGGTATATGTTTACAAGAGTCTTATACAAGTTCATAGATTTCAGTGCTGTTGGGTAGTGTCTTGCACTCAAACAAGAAAGTGCATAATGTAATGATCTTTCCTCTGCCTCCTCTCAATGTAGTTACCTCCTGAAAGCACAAATGTCAAAACATTGCCATATGGTGAATGACGAAGCACTTGGAGTGAGCAAACAGTTCCTGACAAATGCCTTTTAGAGACAAGGTTCTTGACATTCAGACTTCTGCCGAAACGTAGTGCTGGGTCCCCTGGGCGAGTCATTTCATTTTGAAGTAAAACACAGCCCCTTCAAGCAGCACCCTTCCTGCATAAATCTAGCTTCCTCTCCCTGCAGACGTCCAGAATTGATGGAACAAACACTACTGTTTTGAATTTATGCTGTTTCATGTCCTTTTAAAGTGTTTTATGACCCCATGTGGAACCTGTCACACTTGGGTAGTACCTGCAAAGGCAATTTTTTGGCAGCTGTTTAGCCATTGGGGACCCATCAGGTTCAGACCCCAAGCCCACAAGGGCAGGAGCTCCCTTCCTCATTGGGAAGCTGACTGACTTCAGCTGTTTCTCATGGGGGCTGGAAATGGTTACTGCCATTCCTCTTGCCCACTCGCCCAGAGTTACCTGGACAGACTCCCAGAGGCCTTTGTAAAATCAGTAGCTATCCCAAAGGCAGGCGGGAGCCAGTAGTAGCTTCAGCAGCTTCAGTTTGCTGTCTTGCTGACAGAGACCCTTGGCTACCACTGTGCTGCTAATAGGATAAGTACTTTGTTGCCAGATTACCATGCCTTTTACACAAAACCAAATTACCTAATACCTGACAGCTCTCTGGGCTCTGAACTGCTTTCTCTCAAAAGCGTGCTGGCATTGTAGACAGAATTCTAGAAATTTGGCAGGTGGTGCAAGTATTTAAGATTTCATTTACCTTGCCCCTTTGTTGATTGAAAGGAGTTTGAAATTCTGAGCTCCTGAGATACCACTACCGTGGAATGAATGTGTGACCAGAATGTGGCTTTGACCACCAGGTGCTGTTGTCCCTTTGCAATTGGCTTCTGATTTGACCAGAAATAATTGATAATGTGAATTTTTGTTAACTGTTCAGTTGTAGGGAAACAGAACACGTATCACCCTTTGTTAGGTAGAACACGGACTTGTCCCGCCCAAAGCCTTGCTCGTAGAGGGTGCCTGGTGAGATAGGAAAAAGCATAGTAAGTTGTGCTTCAAGAGCTTGATATGTTTATCTTAATCAGTACAGAAGAAATATATCTGTGTAACTTGGTCTTCTGTCTAGTACTTGTCTTGTAAGTAACCAACACTGAGAACTTTGTAGTGATGACTACCAAAGAAATCTAGTAAAACAACCTTTTATTTCCAAATTATTCAAGAGCCAGCCGTTGGCGCTGCTACGTGAGTTCCATGCTCAAGAGCCATTGTAAGAGATTAAGGGGTTTTTAGGTTTTTGTTTTGTTTCTAGTTTTTTTTTTCTCTTTATTTTATTTTTTTTTTTTGATAAAACATACACACACAGCTGTTAGCATGAAATGATGGGGAGCATTTTTGAGGATGCTCAGCCATTGTGGTTAGCTGCCAAGGCCTGGTTGCCTCTCATTAGGCGACTGGAGGAAGCCTGTGTTGGTGACAGCGTGGGTGCTGTGTGTGTGTGTGTGTGTGCGCGCGCATTCATGCCTTAACTCGGGTTACTGCTCAACTTCAGTTCCTGACTTAGTCTGCACCGTCATCTAGATTGTATTGTACATCTTGATCTGAACTTCACCTTGGCAAAAACAGAGTTGCAGGCACAACAGTTAAAGAATGCATTCCTCTGGAAGAGTATTTGGTCAGGTTCACCCTGAGGATTCTTTGGACTTTATTTGGAACTGAGCATGGAGAGCAAAAGTGAACTGTCAAACTGAAAGAGGTCAACAAGGAAGAGAGGAGAGCCCAGCGCTAGCATGTCCTTGCCTCTGCATATCCATGCGCACTGTGTGTTCATGATAGCTTGTCTACAGCTCGACTAGGCTGGAGTTCTGGTAATAGTGGCAATCTTGACATTCTTGGTCAGAGTTTAGAGAGATGTAAGATTTCCAATTAATGTCTTATATACTTTATGTTGATTAGTCTTTGATACATGTGCTGAATCAGAAACCTAAATAAAGATAATTTTTTAAAATGTAACTCTTGGCCCTTAAACCTTATTTCTTTCTGGTCTTTGAGTCGGAAAATGAACATGGTTTCCCAGTGGCTTCTCATAGATACCAATACTAAATACTAAAGGCTACCTTAGAGAAAGTGAACAAGAGGACACAAAGAGGGGCTGGTTACCTGGATATAATTAGTTTTTGAAGATTCATTGAGCTACATGCTTATGATTTGTCCATTGTTTTTTATCTGTGTTATATATCAATTTAAAACCCTAAACCCTAGGAGATTCGGATAAAGAAAATAAAGCCACTCTCAATTCCCAAAATGTTACTGTAAACAAGTATATATTTTTTTTTTCAGGCTTTAGGCATTATATTTGGTGTATCAACTTTTCTTAAAATTTTAAAGAAAGCCATCTGTATGGTTTCCTACAAAGTAGGAAGCATGGATTTCAAGTCAGTTCTAGGTTTGAGTACTAGTTTTTTCACTAGGCGAGTTACTTAACCTCTCTGGAACTCAAGCTCCTTACCTATGAAACAAGGACTTCCTGTAACGAGATAAAGGAGAAAATTCAGATGAAAGTCTTTAGTACAGTTCCTCCCACACAGTAAGACACAAGACAAGTCCCTTCCACACCCATTCACTTAGGAAGAAACTTAGAATGAGTATTTGGTGCGACTTTCACGCGTGTTTGGTGGGGCGGGGGTCGGCAGCTCATCAGTTGCATTTACTGAGGCCCCAGCAGTGAGTCCACATTCTGAGGGGGAGGGCACAGTACCTAGAGGATCCTGTCTGGGGAGCATGGTCTTCCAGAACCCAGTTGTGATGCCATTTTAGGAGCTCAAACTGTTTAAACCTGGGCCCCTTTTTATTTAAAAGCATTAAATAAATCTTGAGTCTTGACTCACTCTGGCTTGAACAAGATTCTGTGTTAACTGTTGGTTAATAGAATGAGTTTTTAATGGGGTTAGTCATGTAAATTGAAATGGCCAAAATTGTCAAAATGCCTCTCTACTCTTGGCAGCTAGATTTTAATTGTAACTTGATGAAAATGTTGACCAGGAAATTACCTAGGAAGTCTGAATTCAAATCTTGGTTTCCTCTGCCAGCCTCGGTTTTCTGATCTGTGTAATGGGATAGCCATTCTGATTTCAGGTAGCATTTGAAGAAAACAGGATTTATACAAAATGCAATAATAACAGGAAGGTAAAGTTTAAGCCACATGTGCCCTTTTTTCCTTTTAATACATTTTAGAGGCTGGGTGTTCACATGTTTCTTCTAAAATTGAAACAGTTGGCTTAGCTAGTTTTCATGTTTATGAGAGAGTCTAACTAAATCTGGGTTCTTGTTTTAACATAGGCTATTTAATTTTTTTTTTAATTGGACATGCAGTTATATTCAGTCACTAATGTCTAATTCATTCCCCAAACTTTGAAACATTCTCTTGAGAAATAGAGGAAGAAATACCATATGATCTCACCTTTAAGTGGAACATAATCAACAAAATGAACAAGCAAAATATAACCAGAGACATTGAAATTAAGAACAAACTGACAGTAACCAGAGGGGAGGTGGGAGGGGGTAATGGTGGGGTGGAGGGGGTAATGGTGGGGTGGAGGGGGAGAAGTGTTTTCAGGAACAACTATAAAGGACACATGGCCAAAACCAAGGTGGGGTGGGGTGGAATCAGGGGAGGGAGGTGGGGATGGCTGGGGTCAGGGGGAGAGGTGGGAAGACAAGGCAGACAACTGTACTTGAACAACAACAAAACAAAATAAATGAAAAGGGAGAGGAAATAATCACTGCATGGTCAGTTATGGTTTGTGTCTGATGTTTATGTAGACATGAGAAGTTTAATTTTTGTCCATTAAATCTTTCTGTTCTCTTACATATCACCCTATGCCCTACTAACAACAGTGCAACTTTCAAGATTACTAATTACTTGAAAAAGAGATCTTAGTAATTGATTTTTAAATTTCTCATTTTAAAAATAGAAAGACCCAGCCCAGAAGTGAAACAGGTGAAAGAATTAACAGTCGAGGTGATGAA